CTGAGGATCCCCGCCTTGTGTGGTTTCGTTGAACCACGCCGTTCGGGGCAGCCCACCATGGCCGAGAAGAACGGCTCGACGGGCTATGACCTCTTCGCGTGCGTGTCGGTGCAGGACGTGCGCGCGCCGACGCCGCGACGCCCGCAGGTGCGCGAACAACATGTTCGAGACGACGTCGGCGCGCGCGGAGGCGAGCATGGACCTGGACCTCGTGGGCGCGGAGCTGCTGGCGCGGCACAACAGCGCGGCCATGGAGAGAATGATTGACCGTCGCGTCCAAGAGCAGTTGAAGGTCCTCAAGACCGAGCTCCGCGAGGAGCTCGCGCGGGGCGACGGCGCCGCGGCGCCGCGGCGCGCGTCCCGGCGCGAGAGCAACGCGGGCCGCCTGTCGCTCTCGGGGCGCATCATGGGCACCGGCAACACAATCGGCGGCGCCGACGACGCGCGGGACTGCCTCTTCGACAAGGCGAGCGAGTCCTACTACTTCCGCGTGCAGACGATGGTGCTCTTCAACGAGCCGTCGCCGCGGCTCGCGCTCCACGTTGTCGTCGTCGTCGTCGCGATGATGCTCCAGCTCTTCGCGCTGTCGACGGTCTGGCAGACCATTTGGTTCCCCGTCGACGTGGCGCGCTGGGGCGTCGACGACCAGGCGGAGCTCGAGTACTTCCCGAGCGGGCTCCCGCGGCCGACGAACTACGCGAAGCTGCTCGAGTTCTACAACGACACGAACCTGTGAGTTCGGGGCCATCGTCGCGCGCGCGTCCCACGCGCGATCGGCGCAGGTTCGGCGTCCCGCTCATCACCATGGCGCCCCTGGCCTTTTGCGCCGTGCTGATCACGCTCGGCACGCGGTCCGAGTTCGCGCAGTGCAAGGCGGGCTACTGCCTCGTGCGCCGCAGCGCGGCCGAGGCCGAGGGCCTCGCGACGGGCGCCGCGCGCGCGCGGCGCTGGTGCCGCCTCGCGGTCTGCGGCTTCCTCTCGTTCCAGCGCGTGTCGCTCGTGCTCTACTACGTCGACGTGTCGTCGCAGATGATGGGCACGGCCGACGGGTCGCGGCGCCGCGTCCGGCGAGCGACGACCCTTCAATCTGATGCTCGACGCAGGCCCTTCAATCTGATGCTCAACGCGCTGGCCATGGTCTTCATCCTCGATCTCGACGACCTGATC